CCTAATGCAGCCGCCGATCGCGCCAGCCTCTATCGCTGCAAGGATTATCCTCCCTGCGCGGTGGTGGCGGGAGGTATGCTGCGCGGTCAGCGCCGAGCATGCCAGCATGGGATCCTGCGGCCTGTGTACTATTTTGTGTTTTTGATAAATGCAATCCAAGCTGTTACTAGCGATGCGGCTGTGCCCTGCAATGATTGCTGCCCATATGGCGCTTAATTTAGCTCCGTTGATGGTGTCGTTCTCAGGCTGCGCTGGGTCCCGCGGATCATCAACGGCTGTATCCTGTTGTTTCCCGCCCCCCATCGGCGCAGGGATGCACATCTACATGTAGACGTCCGCGCCCATGGCAATGGTTTTGCCTTCAGCTCCTCTGTTGCGGGAGGTTCCTTGCCCTGTCTCGTTCAGCACGCTCCTATCAGTGTGGACCAAGGAGTCAGGGTCATACGCCAGCGGCTGGGGTGTGTGGATGGGTCGAGGTAGCTACCTAGGATAGGGCTTTCTCTGGGGCGTAAGCGTCCCCTTCTCCCAGGTGTGCGGGGTGCTGTTACCCCCCACCCCTTGCGTAGTCTGGCCGCATCCATGCCTTTTTCCCAGGATGGCGTGCCGCTGCCCCGTGGGCGGTCAGGCAGGTGTGTGGAAGCCACGGGAGCGTTGCCATGAAACTAATAATACAATTTCCGCCGCCAGACAAGTGCATTGCACAATGTAAGACAAGTTGATCTCACATATTAGAAAGGTCTTACCATCAAGCGTTGTACGGGACCACGCGGTTGGTCAACATGCGGCATCTGCGCTTCCCCATTCTCGCGATGTGGCTTGCTTCTCTGCCTGTAGTGTTTTTTATTTGGCAATCACAACAGGCACCCAACAGCTCCCTGCGAAATTTTCAGCACCTCGTAGTTGCCGTTGCAAAGCCCAACGGAGACGGACCGCTCGCTAGGCAGAAGTCGGGCCAGCAACACTCTGGAGGGTATTTAGACAGCTTGGCTGACATGCTGCAGCAGAATGTGTGGATGTCTTCTGCAAAAGTAGTCTACACGCATGGGAACATGACACCCTCAGACAAGATACAAGAACGTCCATTTATATGCGAGTTCAAGAATGTGTACGTCACAGCGGCTCATGTGTACTTTGTTCCACACCCCAATTCCTCTGCAAGAGCTGTTGCAGACCTGCTACAATGCTGTGGCCCAGCTAACAGTGTCAGTATGTGGGGTAATTGCAGCGGCACGTCTGTTGATGCAGACTTGTGCTATTGCTTCCACCATTTTAAGTATGTCCCATACGTATGGGCATGGGGCAATGAGAGTGTCCATTACAACATCACAGGCCGGACCTGGTTGATGCACCATTGGTCTGTTTCAAAACACCCGGATCATTGGGGAATGAAGATCTTAGAGTTGCACGGCCTCCTAGCAAGTAAGCCTGCAGCTGCACAGTTGCAGTACTACGAAGCCATGCCATCAGAGTTTGATCATTTACTGAGTATGGATTACCCAGGTCCTGCAGCTTCATTTACTGACTACGAGCAGTTTCTGTACACTGTACTGCAAGAAAAACTCCAGAACAAACCAGATTTTTATTTTCTTAATCATGAAGGTGCGCCTTTGTACTACAAGTTGTTTAAAGGAACGGCAGACTTGAAAAAGGAGGTTGCTGTGTCAGCTCCAAGCCTGATTTTGGACCTCAAGGTTGCACACGTGGATCACGCATTCATGTCGCCACGATACAAAAACAACATTCCCTTTCCGTACAACACAAGTATATCAGCCTTCCAGGCCAGCGTCTCAAATGTGGTTGCAAGGTTGCATGACAATGTTCAATGTATTAATACACGTAAGCCCAGTCGTATCAGTGTCGCTGTGCTGTACCGTGATGATGGAATGGGCCTGCGGAGGTTTGTCAATGTTAATGAGATGCTGTTGTCCATGAGACGCATAATCGGCCACACTGAGACTAAGTCTTGGTTTATCAATGGCACCACCTCTGCCGCGCAGCAAGCTACATTGTTTTGCTCGTTCCATCTTTTGATCACACCGCACTCCTCTCAACTATCAAATCTGGTTTTCTCAGCACCTGGCGTCTCAGTCATTGAGCTTCAAAATCCGGATCTCGTGGAGGACACGTTTAGAAATTTGGGATCTAAAATGCAGCTTCACTACCAGCTGCTAAAATCTAACAACACACAGGCCAACACTTCCACTGACCCAAAGTCTTCCGATGTGATTGTTCACATTCCAACCTTTGAGGACGCCGTGGTTCGGGCTGTTCACAATCTCAAAGTACGCAGCTATATTGTGTAACTTGCTTTCCAGCTCAGTTCGGTCACACGGATGGGACTCAGATGAGCACGTCGTCTTTCTCTTCTTTGTTTGCCTCACATTGCACAGTTGTATGCTGACCCAACAGCTGCACACATATTTGCCCGTCTTATCTGAGACAGGGCCAAGGGTGCAATAGACATGGATCTCTTTTTGCTGTGGATTGATCGGTTTGGGGTGCGGGGATCCCGGATCCCCGACGGGGCGTAGGTGACAAGTGAGAGAGAGTCTACGCTGTCGGCGGCGCAGCCGGAGATTGACACCATCAACAGAGCCGAATTGAGCGCCATATGGGCAGCATTAATTGCAGGGCACAGCCGCATCGCTAGTGACAGCTTGGGCTGCATATATTATCAAACTCACAAAATGGTACACAGATCGCAGGATCTGCTGGATGGTCAACGGCACCTCACACTCCTCACAGCAATCAGAGATGCCATCGTGACCGGGCCCCCGGAGGCGCCGCCAGTTGTACTCCTCAAAGTGCCCGCCCACGTGGGCAACACCGGCAACGAAAGCGCCGATGCCATCGCGAAAGGAGTGGCAAAAGAGGCCAGACCGGAGAACCTGGCATCATCGCTGGGAGAGCCAGGACTCACTGTTCCTTCTAGCAATAACCGCTGCGGCCAGTGGTGGTGGTATACATCTGAGTCAGCAGATGAGACAGCTCGGCCACAAGGGGCAGTCACAAGAGGAGGATCCTGGCCAATCTGGCTGAAGCGCTGAAACGCTTGCTTGGCCTGCAACGTTGCAGGCGACATGCACGAGACACTGTGGGCCAACCTCAATACGCTGTACATGCGGCTGGAACGCGAGGCCGCACCCAGCCTGCACCCGGCCGCCTGGCACTATCTCCAAATGTGGGGCACTGTGCTGCCGCGCGAGCTGCGGCTGTGCCTGCGGTGGAGGTGCACACCTCCACCGTGGACTGCGGTGGAGGTGCACACCTCCACCGTGGACAGGTCCCCACCATGCACAACCTGCACAAATGGGGAAAGAGCAAAAGCACGGCCTGCCGCCTGTGCGGACACCCGGATGAGACCGCTGGGCATACCATGCTGGCATGTCCGGCGCTGAGCGCGCAGCATATCTCCCGCTACGTACCACCGGGCAGGGAGGGTCATCCTTGCAGCGATAGAGGCTGGCGCGATGGGCGGCTGCATTAAGTGTGCAGACCTGGGATCTGCAGAAAACTGCAACGAGGATGGGGTGCTGCTCCGCCGCACCTTCGACAAGTAGTGCTCCATCCTGACACCCGCCCGCACAGAAACGGCGCCTGAAAGATGCGGGCACATACAGCATCCCTGGCATCATTCTGCACGTACCGGCACAAGGTAGAGGACTGGCGGAACACATCCATATTGTGGAAATCAAGTACTGCAGGGACACAAATCAATACCCAACAATTGCAGCGGCCACGGGACAACACGCCGCACTCATTGCAGAACTGCAGAAGGCACGCCGGCAGGTTCACCGTGACCTTCATATGATTGCACTGGATGTGAGGGGTACCGTGGATTACACCGGTGACATACACCGGTGTAATCTACGCAGACATGATGAAGGACATGGCCGACCTAAGGGTACCCAAACAAAAAACACAAGACCCGTTTCAAGCACCTCAACCTGCATGCGGTGGAAAGCATGACGGCTATTTGGGGCCGCCGAAAGCAACTGCTGCATGCAAACAACTGCCCGCCATCACGGCCGCCGCGTCAAGTGCGTGGCGTCACGTGAGCATGCCCCTTGGTCTCCATGGTGGGGTGTGTGGCTCACCACACACACACACACACACACACACACACACACACACACACACACACACACACACACACACACACCCCTCTCCTCAAACCGACGCGGCGCCGCTTGCAGCGTGGCTTTTAGCCGCGCGCATGAGGCGTCGGCGTAGTCTCTCTCTCTCTCTCTCTCTCTCTCTCTCTCTCTCTCTCTCTCTCTCTCTCTCTGTGCTGCCATTGGATGTCCCCCTTCACCCAGACGACCGCTGCTCTAATCGCCCCGCTTGGAAGAAGGCTTGCTGCTGGTCTCTCCTGCAAGGAGGCGTGCGCCCTCTTATTCCCGACTTGGGCGCACCCGCTTTCTCCTCTGGCCTTTACGGTTAGGAGCGTTACCCCTTTGGGGAGCCAGGGTTTCTCCCCTCGCTGCTGGAAAAAGCGCGATGTAATATAATGTTGTGTGATTCCTGAAGCTCCACATCCTGGTCTCCCATGCCCTGTAGTTGCGCTCCTTGCGGCTTTTCTGCCCTGCGCGGCGGCGCGCCGTTTTCATTGGTGCCTCACCGGGTCGTTTGCCCGGGCAGGCGTCCCTGCACTACTTGTGTGCGGTGGTGCGCAGCTTGGCGGGCCGTGCGGTATGTAATCGAATCATCCTCCCACGTGTCGGACCCATCCTCGCCCCCACAGTCGCGGCCTGTCTCAGTCCTGGCGGCAGTGGGCCGGGCGTGGGCAGCAGTAGGGTTCTGGCGCGGGTTGCTGGTCAAGTACTGAGTGATATCGTGTTGGCCCCCTTCTCTTCATTGTCCCCGTCGCCTTGGATGCTTCCAGGAGGGCCCACAGGCTGGCCTCAACACGGCGAGCGTCCGAGGGTGCGTTCAATCTCCTATTGAATGACGCTTTTTGGGAGAGCTCTGGATGCAACGCCTCCCGAGTTCATTATTTTGTTCCACGCATGCATCCTGATCAGCAGCATCACGTCAGCAGCACCTGCCACCAGCATGCACAGCAGCTGGAGCGCGGGCTCCCCGGTCCCAGCGGAGGTTGCGGCGCGGTTGCGGGAACCTTACTTGGGTTGCTGCACCCCCCCCCCCCCCCCC